GCGCGGGGGGGGGGGGATCGTTGTCACGTATCGTTGAAGAACAGAGAACGGCGGTGTCGACATCATTCTCGCTTGTCGGGGGCAAACCCGCAACACGAGAAATTTCCAGAGGGGCCTCCACCCGAACGAAAGTCAACTTCGGATCTACACATGGCAGTCAGTGCGGCAGCTGCCAAACGCTTCACGCCTAAACCCGAACGCACGCTCACCCACTCCACCATGCCGGTCTCCATCCTTGACATCACTCTGCCCCAATTCCGCTGATCCCGACCCTTATTCTAGTTTCCCCTTCCCTTTGCTTCGCCAAGGGGCAACAGGAACCCGCGCCGCGTCCCCGCTCGCGAAGCAAGCAGCAGAGACTTGAGCCGCCGACACAAAAGTGAGACCTTGATGAGCCAGTAGCAATTGCTTATCCCCTGAAACGCGATGCTGCCTCCCCGGGACCGCAAACCGCCTAGCCCGAGCTCAGTAAAATCCACCGGCGCTTTCGCCTAGCAGCAGCCCGCAACGCCTGATGGGGGTGCCCTTTATCGGAGGGCGTGCTGATGAGATAGGTCGCCAGCAGCGAAAGAGATACCGCTTGCAATGTTTTTGTGGCAGTTTCTCTGGAGGACTCCGAGCTCCCTACACGAGCACCCCACGAAACGGCTATGGACGAGGGTGTGTAGGAGGGGACCACTGGTCAGCGGCAAGGCAAGCACAGCAGACCCTGCTCGGTCGGTCAGCGGCTGGGTGAGGCAGGAGCAGCTGGTGTCCGCTGTGCACTCACTAGGCCGGGGTGCACGCACTGATATGGCGACCACTACCCTGCTAAATACCATTTGCAGGGACCCTGGCTTAAAAGAAAAAAAACAGGTCACTGCTCTTGTCCTGCAGGCACAACAAACTTGCAACTTGGCCAGTGGGTGGTCGCGTTCGTCAAAGCAATAACTTGTCCTGTGCATGTTGTGTGTAGCCCTCGTGGTCTCGTGGTTGTGGCCAAGTCGCGACGCGTGTCGATCCACCAGCATATAAATTCAATGGTATGTCGTCTGGTGGGTGTGCCCAAACAACAGACAGACAGACCAGCAACACTGAGCTGCTACAGATCTGCTTGAAGTAGAGGACTCAACAAGGGAACGCAGTGGTCATGTTGCTGTCACCTGCCGGAGCTTTGCGGGCGATGCTGGTGCTGTGTGGTGCGCTGGGCCTTCAGCAGATACGCCACCGACCGCCAGTGTTCGAGCGAGGCACCTCTACCGCCATCATCCCGTACAACAAGGACGTGTTGCCACAAACACGTGCTACTGCGCGGTTGCACGGGGATAGCTGTTGGGAGAAGACGCAGACACCGCAACCACAAGGCTGGCGCGTAGCGCGGGGGGGCTTTTCTTTTGCCGTCCACTCTTCATCACCATCCGGGACAGAGGATGAATTATCGGATGGCTCGTCTCGAAGGCGGCAGGCACGCAACAGCGAGAAAAATAGAGCGGGACGCAACAACAGCCGCTCATCGTCTTTGGAGTCCCCTCAGCAATCGCCGCCGTTGGAGGTCCTCCATCAAAATGAGCACTTCGCGTGAGCATAATGCGCATATGACATGTCGCTTTCTGTAGAGGGAACGGGACCGAGGTGGCAAGGGCTCGTTTACCTGGGGAAATGGCGGGCGTGGTTGTATGTGTGTGCCAATTCACGCTACTGCTGGAGAATTTGTGGCCAAGCCTTGTGGTTGAAGTCTGTTTGCCTTCCTCGTGTTTTTGCTGGCGTACGTCTTACAGCCCTCATGGATGCTCGACACGTTTGGCGACCAGCCTCATGTTGTGCACCCACTGATGTCTACTTCGTACTACGTATTCTTTTTTGCCACTCTATCTGCAGAGCGAAAGCCCTTCCTTGTCCGATCAAAACCACCCCGCCCCATCCCGGTGCCTCCACCCCTCCTCCGTTTGTTTGCCTTTTCATTCCCAGACGACGTTTTTTTGCTGTACGAGTTGTTGCGACCGCTTTGTTGCTTGGTGCCCGCGCGCATGCCGTTACAGGTACGCGCGTCCCCCTAATCACTACCCTAACCCTATTCCCAACCCTT